CAGGGAAGCCCCAGCCTTAAAGTATTTTTGAAGAATTGCCCCCTGATAGCTACTTTTCTGTCTTAAGTGAGATCCAAGTTGATGAAACAAAGGAGAGTGCCTTCAGTCAGTCCTTCAGGTAGCCCAATAGGTCACAAGAGACAAACGTTCTTTGAGAACAAAGTCTTCTCGGCTCCCTCTAGAACCAGGATCCAGGGTCCAACCATTGGAATGTAGGCTACTGCATTCAAGACTGCTCTTGAGCCAAGAGTGAAGAAGGGGAAATAAAAATGCCTCAAGGTTTTCATACTGTTTTTACAATAAGTCACCTTTTTCTTGTTTCAGCATTTGCTTGGTTGACCTATAGCTTTGGCTGTTTTCCAGGGTTTTGGCAAATTTGATTCTGACAGTTTTTGCTCAATTTTTTCATGTTTCTATGGAGGGATGAGCTCTTGGAACTATGTCCTCCACTGTGTTTTGGTTTTTTTTGAAGACAAATGGTGATGTCATTGAAGGAGGTGTACTTTTGCTTGTGCTTTCTGATAATTGCTGCTGTTAGGCTTGCTCTGCACTCCCTGTAGTTTTTCTTTCTGCTTCCTTCTGTGTAACTTCTGCCCTACCTTAACTGTTCTCAGTAGCTTTTATTAGTACTTTCGAGCCTTTGGTTTATCCTTGTCTTTTCATGTAGCTTAAGATGAAGATTGCATTTTTAAATGTCTTACTTGGTTGCCTTTTGTTGCTTTTTTATGTTATTCAGGGTTCAAACTGTTCCTTTACCCTGCAAAATTCCCTCTTGGTGTTTGTAGTCAACCCCTATTCTCACCTGATAACCCTAGTAATCATTAATATGTCTCCTGTTCTTTTAACTTTGCCTTTCTAGAATGTCATATAAATGGAATCATATAGTGTGTAGCCTTTTGAGTCTCGCTTTTACTTAGCATTTGAGGTTTATCCACATTGTTTTGTGTTGTTAGTAATTTGTTCATTTTTGTCACTGAGTAGTTTTGTATGAATGTACAGTTGAAGGCCATTTGGGGTGTGGTCTGTTTTCAGCGATTATAAATAAAGTTGTTAAAAACATTCATGTGTAATTTTCACGTGAGCATACGTTTTTATTTCTTTTAGATAAGTACCTAGGAGTGGGATTACTGTGTCATAACTTTCTAAGAAACTGCTGATCTGTTAGCACTGTTTTCCAGAGTGGCTGTATCATTTTGCTTCCTCCCCAACAGTATATGAGAGTTCCAGTTTTTCTGCATCCTTACCATCACTTGATATTTGTTTGTATTTTGGGCTTTTGTCACTCTAACATGTGGAAATGGTATCTCTCTGTTTGTTTTGCATTTCCCTAATGACTAATGATGTTGAGTGTTTTTTCATGTCCTTATTCTCATATGTATATCATCTTTGGTCAAGTTTCTGTTAAAATCTTTTGCTACTTACAATTTATCTAAACTGAGTTTTGAGAATTTAAAATTCTTATATTCTGGTTATTAGTCCTCTGTTACATGTGTTTTGCATATATTTTCTCCCAAGCGTGTGGCTTGCCTTTTCATTCTCTTAACAGTGTCTTTCGAAGAACAGTAGTTCTTTTTTTTAAAAGCTTCTCTTTATTAATTCTTTTTTGGCCTTGTGGGATCCTAGTTTCCCGACCAGGGATTGAACCTGGGCCCTTGGCAGTGGAAGTGTGGAGTCCTAACCACTGGACTGCCAGGAAATTTCTGAGTAGTAGTTCTTTTTTTTTTTTTTTTCGGTATGTGGGCCTCTCACTGTTGTGGCCCCTCCCGTTGCGGAGCACAGGCTCCGGACACGCAGCCCCAGTGGCCATGGCTCACAGGCCTAGCCGCTCCGTGGCATGTGGGATCTTCCCAGACTGGGGCACAAACCCGTGTCCTCTTCATCGGCAGGCAGACTCTCAACCACTGCGCCACCAGGGAAACCCTGAGTAGTAGTTCTTAATAAAGTCCACTTCATCAATTTTTTGGATTGTACTTTTGCTGTTGAGTCTAAATGTCACAAAGATTTCCTTCTAGAAATGGCATTAGAAATTGAATGAGTCATATATGTAATTAAAAATTTTTTAGTATCCACATCAAGACGCATAAAATGTAAAAGAAACAGGTGAAATTAATTTAAACATTTATGTTGTCTTTTTTTTTTTTTTTTTTCTGTATGCGGGCCTCTCACTGTTGTGGCCTCTCCCGTTGTGGAGCACGGGCTCCGGACGCGCAGGCTCAGCGGCCATGGCTCACGGGCCCAGCCGCTCCGCGGCATGTGGGATCCTCCCGGACCGGGGCACGAACCTGCATCCCCTGCATCGGCAGGCGGACTCTCAACCACTGCGCCACCAGGGAAGCCCTATGTTGTCTTTAACCTAATATATTTTAAATGATCGTTTCAACATTTATTCACTAGAAAAATTATTGAGATACTTTACATTTTTATTTTTGTACTAAGTCCTACACTGGTATGTATTTAATACAACACATCTTAACTCAGTTGAGCCACATTTCAAGGGGTCATTAGCCATATCTGTCTAGTAGCTACCATATCTGACAGCACAGATCTAGAGGCTTTGTAGTTTGGGGTTTTACTTTAGGTCATTTATTTATTTCTTTAGGTACGTATGTATTTATTTTCCACTGCGTTTGTAACTAATATAAAAAAATTTAAGAAAATAATTCATTCTCACTTCTCCAGTGGCTCTCATCCCTCCCTCTTGCCCGCACAACTCCTGACCTATTTCCTCAGGGCCAGTTCAAATATGAACCTGTTCACTGCCATCTTCATAGAAAACAACCAGTGCCAGGGATGTAGGAGAAGAAGGTTGGAAGTGGGCAAGAGTACTGCCCAGATTCTATCCAAAGGTAGGCCAAGTGGAGATTCACAGAGTTCAAACAAAAGGGCTGGTGGCCTCACAGTGATGTAGTCTTAAGTAAAACGGGCTGGAGAGGAGATAGGGTAGGCCCATCAGAGGCTTTAGAGGACATCTCTTGGGCCTGTGTCAAACCCAGAGAAACTGACACTAGAAGAAGAAGGGGGAGGGCCAGGGAGGCAGTCTTGTGGAAAGTTTCATAATTCTCCCATGTTGGGAGGTGGGGAAAGTCTAGAGGGTACCAGTGGCCTCACTCAATTTGGCAGAAGAATGTACTGAACTGTTGGAAGTCACAAAAATGCCGTGGACACTGAGAAAGGCTGCGAGGGGACGTACAGTTTCACAAAGTGCACTGACCACAGGCCATAGCAGTGGTGATCATGCTATTGACACACAAATTACAAAACCCCAAAACAGGAAGTGTAGCCTTTTAGGGAGTAATTCTGTACTAGTCATTTAAAATTGGCCCCAGGTCAGACAACCTGATGAGTTTCACAGAGCAGGTGACAACATTGAGGGTAGGGGTTGTGACATATAATGGACTTAAAGCAAGCAGTTGGAAAAAGGGAATGGTAGGAAACTGCTCTACGGCTCTCAGGAATCAAGGGCAACACTGGGGGCTCGGTGGACAGATGAACAAGAAACAGCACTAAAGAGGTTTCCTGTTCAGCCGTCCATTGGCGAGGGGGAAGAGGATCCAGGAGGCAGTTGAATGGAGCAAAGATGGGGTCCTGAAGAAGAGGCTGTGGAGGCTGGATCAGAAGAAAGAGTGCACACCGTGCACCAGTGATGAAACACAACTTTGGACCCCACATGGGGGAGGTGGCCATGGGGATAGGTGTCACTGACTTAGGGTGGTAGTTGGAACAGCCCCACAGTAGCCATCACAGGGCCACAGGGAAGTATATGGCCACTAGGTCACAGAAGGCTCCTTCAAGCCTGGATGGGAAGGCACAGTCTCACAGGAGGTCCATGGACTCTGCGTGGTAGAAGGCACAGAGCTCAGTCCTCATATGGACAGTGGACCTTTTTGGCAAAATGCTGGCAGACAGGGTGGTTGAATATGACTTCCATAACCTGGGGTCCATCCTTGGATGGGCAGGTATAATTTTTTTTTTTTTTGCGGTATGCGGGCCTCTCACCGTCGCGGCCTTTCCCACTGTGGAGCACAGGCTCTGGACGCGCAGGCCCAGCGGCCATGGCCCACGGGCCCAGCCGCTCTGCGGCATGTGGGATCCTCCCGGACCAGGGCACGAACCCATGTCCCCTGCATCGGCAGGCGGACTCCCAACCACTGCACCACCAGGGAAGTGCTGGGCAGGTATTCTTGATAAGAGACCAGCCCTTGAGGCTTTGAGGATTTCTCTGCTCTTTGTGAAAGCGTCCCTGGAGGGATATCCATGGCCTGGTCCAGGAAAAGGAAGTTTAGCATTAGCCCCTCCACCAACTATGACCATATGAGCCAGATTTGGAGCTCAGCCCTCCCCAAATTCGGCCTCTGCTCCAGGGAGGAGGTGGGAGACTCAGCAGTGGTGGAATCATTGGTCCCCTTGACCCTGGAGGACCTCTGTGAAGAGCTGATTTGGGGTCACCAGGGTTTCCATTGGTCATGATGGGAGGGCCCAGGAGGCTGGGTGGTCCGATAGGACTTTCATCCCTTTCCAGTGTCTTCCTGTTCTGGCAGTGGGGGCTGCTGCTGACTCTGCTTCTTGCACTTCAGCATTGTGATTGTGGCAATGGCTGCAGTGGGCTTTTCGTCTGTTATTATTTTGAGTTAATTTTTGTATAAAGTACAAAGTACGGATTGAAGTTCATTTTTAACACATGGCTGTCCATCAGAAGCTCTTAATAAAGTTGTTCTGGGCAGTTAGAGATATAGAGATCATCCTGGGCTCCAGAGCTCAACATTTAAACATATTTTATTACTTTATTGTCTTTTATTTCAGTGTAATGTAAATTTACATTGTAATTAACAATTTTCAAACTGTCTGTGTAAAATGCTTAGAAGTTTTAGGCATTTAGTGTATTGGCTTTATTCATATACCTATTCAAACTTAAATTAAACATTATGCTGTTTATTTTTTTTTAACACTAATTAACCTCTCCATTCCCAAAATCCTATCTAAAATTCTTACTTTGTTTTTAGGCATGTACTGGCATTGAAAACATTGATGAAGCTATTACATTGCTTGAACAAAATAACTGGGACTTAGTGGTAAGTACTTTCTTTTTTCAGCTTTATTGAGATGTGCTTGACATATAAGATTGTGTAAGTTTAAGGTGTACAACGTGATGATTTGATATACATATATATTGCACAATTATAGCCACAGAAAGGTTAGTTAGCACATTCATCACCTCACATAGTTTTTTTTTTTTTTGGTGGGAACTTTTAAGATTACTCTTTTAGCAACTTTCAAGTATATAATGAGGTATTGTTTAACTATAGTTACTATGCTGTACATTGGATCCCCAGAACTTATTCATCTTGTAACTGGAAGTTTGTACCTTTTGACCACCTTTACTCATTCTCCACCCACACCTGCCAACTACCAGTTTACTCTGGTAAACTTATGATTCTTATGATTTGGTTTTCTTTTTAGATTACACATATAAGTGAGATCATGCAGTATTTGTCTTTTGCTGTCTGACTTATTTCAAGTACTTTTTTCTTTATATGACAAGTAATGAAATTCTATGTATTCTTGAATGTCTTTAACATTCCTTATAGGTAGTTCAGCATACCATACATAGTCCGTCTATAATTCTAATCTGAAAGACTAAAATCTAAATGTCATATTTTTAATATGAGGTTCCTATTTAGTTTAGTATTAGATTAATAAATTATTATGAAATCTTAGGTAATTTAAGTTATTTTTAAACTTCTCTTCTCTGAATGTATATTAAGGTTTGTCTTCCCCTGTAGTATTGTGGCGGAGATTGGAAGGAGAGAAAAATCAGACTTGTTTGAATGTCTGAATAACTCTACTTGATGTTTCTCCCTCACATCTTGGGGTGGGGGTGGGGAGTCTCACTGATGATTACTCCTTTCTAAAGCTGTTAAAGAAGTGGCATTCTGGGCTTCCCTGGTGGCGCAGTGGTTGAGAGTCCGCCTGCCGATGCAGGGGACACGCGTTCGTGCCCCGGTCTGGGAAGATCCCACATGCCGCGGAGCGGCTGGGCCCGTGAGCCATGACCGCTGAGCCTGCGCATCCGGAGCCTGTGCTCCGCAACAGGAGAGGCCACAACAGTGAGAGGCCTGCGTACCGGAAGTGGCATTCTGCTGTGGCTTTCCTTATGAACTTCAGGCAGTTTATTATAGAAGTGGTTTAGTTTTTTTAAGGGGGGGTGGGCAGTAACTCAAAAGGCAAGGCCCAGCACAGCACAGCACTGCACATTGACAAAACTGTAATTTATTTGCAATTGCAAAGCAAACTAAAAATAAATTGTACAACAGTACAGGAACAGTATTGATTGTGTTAGGATGACACAGAGGTCTCTCCATACCTTTGAAATCCGAAAAACGTCTAAATTAGAATTTTGAAGAAGTGCTAATTTTTGAAAGTCAAAACTCAAGGTGTATAATTATAGAGCTGAGATTAGTTGTGTAGGTATATTCAAGTCCATACATGGATTTACATAATCAACTGTTAATAAGCTATTTGTTTCATGTAGATTTACCACTATTAATTTTTAAATTCAAAATATAAAAAAACTATTTACAGCTTGTAAAAGTAATAACTCATTATAGAAAAATGAGAAAATGTATAAATTTACAAAGAATAAATTAGTAATCACCTTTACTTCCATCACTTAGAGATAGTTATTGTTTAACATTTTTGGGTATATTATTTCAGAATGTTTTCTCTTAATTATATGATTAAAATTAAAAAAAATACAAATTAGATTGTTCTATTCCTGCCCTTTTGTAATCTGCCCTTTTCACTTAACAACCTATCATGAATGTCTTTCTATCCAAGTAAATGTGACATATATCATTCTTTTTTTTTTTTGCGGTACGCGGGCCTCTCTCTGTTGTGGCCTCTCCCGTTGTGGAGCACAGGCTCCGGATGCGCAGGCTCAGCGGCCATGGCCCACGGGCCCAGCCGCTCCACGGCATGTGGGATCTTCCCAGACCGGGGCACAAACGCGTGTCCCCTGCATCCGCAGGCGGACTCTCAACCACTGCGCCACCAGGGAAGCCCCATCATTCTTTTTAATGTTTAATGTTTGGATGGTACTTCATGGTATGGTTGTGGCATAATAATTTTACCATTCAGTCCTGTGCTGTTAGACATTTAGAGTTTTTGTGGTATTTTGGAGTTATACACATTAGAGGACATTCTTGTACATTCATCCTTGCTTACTTAACCTATTGTTTTCCTAGAAGACATTGAATAAATTCAATTAATAATTAAGTTTCTGGGTCAAACTGTATACATATTTTTAGGTTTTTGGATACTTATATTGCCTTCCAGGATGGTTGCACTAATTTAAATTTCTACCAACTATATAAATTTTTAAGTTTGCCTGTTTCAGTAAACCAGTGCTATCTTATTTTTTCGTGTTGTGGCACTTGTCAAAATTTACAAATATTTGTATGGCCTGACTTCAAATCCATCCTTTTATCCCTGTGTTATTCTCTTAACAAAGCACAGTATAGTGACATATTCCTGATTTCTGTGTGCGGGAAGGGGCAGCAACTTATTTGGAATGATATCACAAGGTTTCTTGTCTTGAAACTTCTTTTGCAATAGCAAGAGCATTGCTTTATTTAGTATGTATATTCTTAGGCTATCTCTTGGAGAGGCTGATGCAGATTATTGGTTGAGGTTAAAAATCCCACCAAGCCACTCTTGCATGGTGCTGATGAGAGATATATGGGCTGGAGAAAAGAGAGGTTGTAGACTAGGAGTAATGGACTACAAGTGTCTGATGTGAGAATTACCATTTTTGGGGGATGGATATAAGTTCTTTCCTTATCTGCTTTCTATTGGTCCATGTTCATTAGTTTTGAAGGTTAAACATTTATTGGTTCTGGATATTTTCTCAATACAATAATCTATCTAGAGTATTGCAAGAAGAGAATTTTTCCCAGATAGTGTTAAATAATTGAATGGTACAGGTATTCTCCAACTGTTTCTGAGTTATTTGATTTTGGAAAAATACTAAAATAGCGCTTGAGCTAAAAACACTGGTGCTATATTTCTGCAGAAATGCAGTCTTGTCCTGTGTTGGGCCCAAATAAAATCATCAGGCTATTTTTCACAGTCTTAAACTTCAGCTTTCTTTTGAAATATATGTCCTAGCTGGCTTTTCTTGTAAATAATGCACTTTTATCCACAGTAAACATTTGCTGTGCTGTGTAAGTATCTTGCTGTATAAAATTTCTCACTTCCCTTTTTCTTATACAGCACTCACTTTACATTGTGGGTTTTAAAAAATAAAGCAAGTATTTTGAATAACCCATTACTAATTCAGACTTTCATTAGGATCATGGAACTTTTTATATGGTGTTTTTTATATTTTGCCTGTGCATTATATTTTGTGTCTGTAAATTATAATTATCACTGCTTTGTATTTTATGGGCCTTGTGGAACAGTTTGCATAGTTTGAGTTTTTAACTTAGGACATGTCTGTATTTTAAATTTTCTGTACATATCAGTTAGACTTCAGTGTTTTTGTGCATATTTTGCTACAGATGTGTAGAGGAATGTGAGTTAGGCATCACAATTCCAGATTGTGATGAATTTTAAAAAGTCCAATAACAGAAAACTCATTCTGTCAGTACTGAATGCTTACAGTATACCCAGATTTATGCTAGATACAGTGAAAGCTTAAAAACATGTTAACACTGTATGGTGTCTGACTTTGAGAAGTGTACTGAAAAATTGATAAGACAGGTGGTCTCTTATACATGTATATTATACTCAGAAATGGGAATAACTTCCTGAAAAAGTAATGATTGCAAATATTTTTGCTGTTTTATAGATTTAGACACACAGATAAAAAAGTGTTCTATATGAAAATATAGCCCAGTCCCAGCAACTTTAGTCATTAGTCTTTCCCTGATACTGTACAGTATTTTCATTATATAGCTATCCACAGAGCAGTGCTTCCAAACCCTATGTTTTAAGTACCCTACAATTGACTACTTATTTTGGGGCAACTGCAGTTCGGGTTATAAATGCTAAATTCTGAAAACAAAATAACATGAACTTTAATACTACTGGTAAGCATCTTGAGATACTGATTTACTTGACATGAATCCTCCCCATACCCCCATCTTTTTCAGACTTTCATTTTTCACATTGTCCTGCACTTTTAGTTAGGAGATTAATGTCATTGCAGTTGATTCCTTCATTGCAGGCAAGTATTTTCAATATACATCCAGAAAGATGAATACCTGTGGGAGAATTATTAACAGTCAGAATCTTTTACCAAAGGATTGCCTTCTTACGTGGAAGCATGCTACATCATCACTGTATCTTATAAATTATAAATCTGGGCTCCAGAATTGACACACTGCTCATTTTCTGTTTTCAGTATAGAAGAATTTGGGCCAGTGGAGAATAGAAATCTGTACAGCTCATGTTAATTTTGAATAATCGAAGTGTGAGGCAGCTAACTCTAGTGGTGAACCCATTGCATTCATCTTGAATCGGGAACCCTGGCTTATCAAAGCTCTTGTCATTATTTTTTTTTTTTTTTTTTTTTTTTTTTTTTTTTTTTTT